GGTAGCAGAAAGCCTCATCCATTAATAATTAGAACAAGGAATGTATGAAGTACGAATGTAGGAAATTGTCAAAACTGAAATGGAATGCATAAACATCGATATCCTAGGCATTACTGAGCTAAAATGGACTGGTATTGGCCATCTTAAATCTGACAACCACATAGTTTACTATGCCAGAAATGACAAATTGAAGAGGAATGGCATCGCATTCATAATCAAAAAGAGCACTTCAAGATCTACCTTGAAGTACAGCACTGTCTGTGATAGGATAATATCCATATTCCTACAAGAAAGACCAGTAAATACAACTATTATACAAATTTACATACCAACCACTTTAGTATCACCGAGCCAGTGATATTAAAGAATTCTACCAACTTCTTCAATCTGAAATTGATCAAACATACAATCAAAAAGTACTGATAATTACTGGTGGTTGGAATACAAAGAGGCAGAATCAGCAGTTGGAAAATATGACCTTAGTGATAAAAATGATGCTGGAGATCGCATGATAGAATTTTGTAAGACCAATGATTTCTTCATTACAAATACCTGTTTTAAACAACATAAAAGACAACTATACACACGGACCTCACCAGATGGAAGACACAGAAATCAAACTGACTACATCTGTGGGAAGACACAGTGGAAAAGCTCCATATCATCAGCCAAAACAAGGCCAGGGGCACACTGTGGAAGAAACCATCAATTGCTCATATGGAAGTTCAGGCTGAAGCTAAAGATTGGCATAGGGGAGACAGCGATGGGTTCAGACGTAGCAATGATTATGAGGTTGGCATAGTACCGGGCAGTGTTTCATTCTGTTGTGTATAGGGTTTATCAATCATTTACTTTATACTATCCTAAACACTTTACACTGTGGCAGCACAGTGGCTATGAAGGATAAGCACTGGACTGCGAACCACAAGGTCAGTGGTTCGAGCCTACCATCCATTCCATGGGAGAAAGATGAGGCTTTCTGCTCCCCCAAGATTTACAGCCTCAGAAAAGCTGTAAGGATCACTGTGAGTTGGAACCAACTAGATGGCACTTAACAACTACAAGCAAGCAGTTTACATATATTACTTCTATTAATCCTCAGGACAACACTATGTGGTAGGTAAGGTCCTCCATTTATAAATGTACAAATGGGTTAATTTGTCCATAATCACCGAGTAAATATATGACAAAATCAGGATGTGAACTCA